TTTCTTTCTTTCTTTCTTTCTTTCTTTCTTTCTTTCTTTCTTTCTTTCTTTCTTTCTTTCTTTCTTTCTTTCTTTCTTTCTTTCTTTCTTTCTTCCTTCCTTCCTTCCTTCCTTCCTTCCTTCCTTCCTTCCTTTCTTTCTTTCTTGCCAGACTGAAAATGATCTCTCTTTGAAAGAAAATCAATTTGGATGGGTGCATTTTGGTTGTGTGCCTAATGGATTAGTTATTGATGTCGTGTGTGTTGTGCCAGCTGCTTTCATCATGCTATTTCTGAACATCATCTGCACTCATTTCATAATAACCCAAACTTTTCCAGAAAGAAAAAAAAATCACTTTGCATAGTGAATTTATAAGATAATTAAGCAACTGAATTCACTGCTTATTTTGCATTTACTGTTTTGCATTTTGTTGCTGTTACCAGCAATGTCAACAGTGGGAGGCAATGCAGATGGAAGCCCCTGTGCCTTCCCTTTCACCTTCCTGGGAGACACTTATGAATCTTGCACCACCTCTGGACGCAGCGATGGCAAAATGTGGTGCGCTACCACCAAGAGTTACGATGATGACCGCAAATGGGGTTTCTGTCCTGATCAAGGTAAAAGAATTTGCCAGTGGTATTTGGGGATATTTTTCCCAAGAGCCAGTGGATTGGAAGACACTGAATCTATCTTTTTCTTTTTTTTCTTTTTTTTACTGTGGAAAGATAATAGATATTTGTTTAAACTAACTTGTTTCTAGGCTACAGCCTTTTCCTGGTAGCAGCCCATGAATTTGGTCATGCTCTTGGTTTGGAGCACTCTCAGGACCCCGGTGCACTGATGGCCCCTGTTTACACTTTTACTAAAGACTTCAGGCTCTCCAATGATGACATCAAAGGCATCCAGGAGTTGTATGGTGAGAGAAAATGCCACATAGAGTCTAATACCAATAAGTGCCTGGGAAAATGATTGTGTTGTCAGTGGATAATTTGCAGACCCCTTTAAATAATAAATACTGTGGTAAATCTGACAACAGGTGTGCCAACAGACAAGCCTTTGCCTCCAACCCAGGGTCCTGTCACTCCAATGGATATCTGTAATGAGCCAGTGATCTTTGATGCTGTAGCACAGATCAGAGGAGAGACATTCTTCTTCAAAGACAGGTAATCATCTCAGTTAGCAACTTGATGTATCTTTAAAAAAAAAAAAAAGACTTCAATGTAAGAAAAGTCTGAAGCTCAGGCAAAGTGTTCGAGATATGCAAGCTGTAATGTTCCCAGTTGCTCTTTTGAGTCTTAAATGTGATGTAAAGGCTGAGTTTGTGAACACTGAAAGCACTGCCAAAGTCCTGTTAAATTTCCTGTCTGTGATCTGTGCAAAGAGCGATAAAGAAAACGAAATTGCCTGCTTCAGGCTGTATCGCGTGACTGAAACACAGCAGCCTGCACCAACTGGATTTCACAATCACATCACTGCAAACAATGAGCAGTTTAACATGAGGTTTCTTGTTAATTATGGTTTCTCTTTTTACAGTCTTGTGCCACTTGAAGATTGTGAGCATATTGTTGTTTTGTGATATGACAATTAGTAAGAGTTGAAAACAAGCTATCCCTCTACTCACGCAGTGACAACCAAAGTAGTCATCATTCATAAACAGTCTACACTCCTCTTCTCCACCGGCGCCAGTGAATCCAAAGTCATGTAGCTTTACTATGTGTCTGCTGGCTGACTCTGTAGAAAAGAAGTTGCATAAAGTCCTGTGGTTCGGTCAACAGTCTTCGTGAGTCAGGGTACTTCCCGTAGAAAGATGAACAGTTTCATTGCAACAGCTGAAGTTTGTTACAAAGAGCTTACCCCAGTGGCATGTTACAAAAAGGAACTGTTAGGACAAACAAATGATGGGTTAGCTGTTGACATTGTTGACACAAACACTATAATTTCAACGTTAAGAGCTGCATATCCTGTCACAATCATTTGGAAATCAGCTAAGAGTAGATGCATCAGCAAAATACCCAAGAGTCAGTTAGCTTGGCTTTTTTCACTGAGTTACAATATTTTTCACCTTGCTGTGGCTCTAGCAGAGAGTGTGCAGCGAACCATGAAACTTTGGATCAGTTGTTGGTCATCAAGTCAGCTGAAATGATCTTTTTCTTCCATCTGAAACATTATATATCTTATTTAACTGTTGGGACAATTTTTTTTAAAGTAGTGAAAATTTTATTTTCACTTTAAGCATTGTTGAAGTCTGAAAATGCACACAGTCACATTAATGTAAAGGCAAGAACAAGTTTCCGACATACCTCGGCTCTCAGGTCACCGTTGTTTAAATGAAGCCATGGAAAAATAATATCTTAAAAAAGAAATGACATTGTGTCTAAATGATAGGATGGCAGCAGTGCTAAGCATCACCTACCTGGGTGGAATGTAACAGATGATTAAACTGTCATTTTGCAGAGAGATGGTATTCAGAGCAAACTGGTTCAGTTTAAGGTGGCTAAAAGTTCCATATACATATGTTACACTGAAATTTAGCTGAGCTGTAACATATTTAGACATTTTCCTGTTTGCCAGATTTTTTAGCACCATTGTGCACTAATCTAAGCTGTTGTGTGATGTTTTCAAACACATTTAATTCAATATGACGTGAATTTTAGGTTGCTATGTGAAAATTTAATCAAGCAAAGTTTAAAAGTTATTCTGAAGATCAGGGTGGGAAAATGAGGACATAGTATTATGAAGTTACTGTAGTGAGCAAACTGTATATCTCACTGAAATCTGGGATCGGTAAAGTTTTAGTACAGGCCTGTTGGTCCAACTTCATAAGTTGCCTGAAGGGCATGTCAGAGTTGTATGCTGCAGAGTTCTGGTACATGCTAAGTTTTATAGCTTTACAGAAAGAGCTGTACCCTCTGGGCTCTGGGGCTAAGCTCACTTGACTCTCCCACTGTAAAAGTGGAATCTCTCATTCTGTTAGCTCAGCATATTTATGTTGTGAGACAAATCTTAACGTGACGCAATGAGTAATACTTGCAGCACTCCCTGAGCTCAGCATATAAGTGGGTCTGTCTGTCTCGAGGCTTAAGGAGAAGGTACTTAGAAAGTCTGACTTATAGAAAATGTTTGGCCAACCTGCTGGTTAGGTCTGTTCTGAAGCGTAAAACCAGTGGAGATTGTTGTGACTGTTGTGCAGAGGCTGGTGAAAAACTGTTAAGAAAGACTGCTGTTTTATAGAAGCACTTTTGTTGAATGGTAGTAGTTAAAAATAATGACAGTATAAAAATACAATAGGCCTCACAAACACTGCCAAATACCTGTGACTGAACTTTGCTTTTGAATGTTTCATTATTTTCTGACTTTTTTGGTGCACTTTAAACATATTTAGACTCAAAAATGATAAAGATCTGTTCTCCATCTACTTTATTCTTTTTCTTCTGGTTTGTGAATGTCGAATGTTTTCCTTTTTTATGTACACCACAATCCATGTCTGAGAGGATGTAGCGTTAAACCCCACAAACCAAACTTTTTGTTTTACCATCATAACTCTCAAAGAAATACTTTGGTGTACCTTTTCCAGCTTCCCTGACAGATACTATTGTTACTCTTTCTTCAGTTGTGAAATTCTTTCTATCTTCTTTTTTGTTTTTGCTCTGTTATACAATTTTAGTGCCTTTTCCACAATGCATTTTAGGCAAACTTATAATGTGGGTCAGTACATTGAGCCATTTAAATCAATGTTTTAAAAACTTATATTTCTCACAAAGCTCAGTTGCATTGTCATAATCATCAACCTGTATTTTTACACAGTTCAAACAGGACTTTGTTAAGAACAAATCCAAGATCAATGGATTATCTACTTCAGATGTTCGGGTTATTAGTAATTACCTGTATGAAAATACAGGTAAATAAAAAAAGAATAAAACAGACTCAGAGATCTAAAACAACAGGAGTGCTTTGGAAAATCACTTGAATATTTTCTGTACACGTATTCCCCTTACCACCCCTAGGCAGATCTTGTTTTTCCTTTTATTGAGTGCATACTGGAAGAAAAGAGAGGGAGGAAAGGATAAAATTAAAGCTCTGCTACAGACTGAAAACCCTCTGGATATTGTTAGTGCACGAACAGCAAACTGATCTGCAAGAACACAAATAAAATAATGACATTCGTAGATGGTTGGTTCAGACTGGAATATGTCTCATCTTTCATCCTGACAAATGTAACTTTGGGCAAGTGTTATGTATGCACACTTCTATTTATGCTTGTTTGTAAAGTTTTATTCTCATCTTCACTTTATCATTATGACAACTGATCTTTGTTTTTGGCAAATCTTTGTCTGTCTAAAAAATAGGTCAGTGGAAAAGAGTATGGTAAGCTGCTATTGTTGCGCAGCTGTGTATTGGAAATCCGGGCAAGATGGGTCTTGTTCCGCTGGCGTCTGCAGCCTTAGTCCTAACGAGAACCAGATGCTCATGAATCAGACCATTGTGGCTGGCTCGGCCAGCGAAGCACTTGCACTAAAACCCCGATCTCTTATACACACAGACACACATGCTTTTTCTCTCTCTTTCTCTCCCCACCTCCTCATCAGCCCCCTCTGGTCCTTTCACTCTTACTTCTTCACTCTTATTTCTTCCCTAGCCTGTCTAACTCATGATTGCTCATCCACCCACTCTCTCTGCAGGTTCCTGTTCAGGTCAGTCAACTTTAGAAGCAAACCCAATGGGCCAATGCTAGTGGCCACCTACTGGCCTGACCTGCCCGCCAAGATAGATGCTGCCTATGAAAATCCAGAGGAAAAAACAGTCTTCTTTGCAGGTATTCTGAGGAAAGCAAGAGACTTTGAAAAATGCACATTTAGATCTGTTTTAATATTGACATAACCCCGCACTTATAAGGTGATGAAGGAAACAGATGCATTACTTTTAATGAGTAATGAAGATGTGTCTTCCCCATTTTACCACTTGGATGCATTTCCCCTAATGGTCAGCCATTTCTATTACCTGAAACTTTAGGAGGCACCAGAATGTAGGCCAAACACTCTTAAGTGCAGTGTGGACTCTTCCAGCATACTTATTAGTGGTTTATGAAATATTCACAGCATTTTACAAATATGACAACTTTCCTGAATACTGATGAGACTTACATGATATATCCATCAACTCTAAAGACATTAAGATGGTTTGGTAAATGTTCGACTTATTATCTCACTGCAAAATTGGTTCATAGAGTTAACCCTTGTGTTGTCCTCGGGTCAAAATTGACCCCTAGGTGAATGGCAAACAAGTATATGGGAATCCCGAGGACAACACAAGAATAAATGATTAAATGTTGATTTAAAAGTTTAGTGATTTTCATTAGAATAACATATTGTATGTATCCTAAAAGTGAGTTCTCTTTTTATCTTACTCTTCTCTCCCAGGCAATGAAATTTGGATTTATAGAGCTGATCAGTTGGAGACAGGCTACCCGAAAAGGTTGTCCAGCCTTGGCCTCCCCACTGACCTGCAGCAAATCGATGCTGCCTTCAACTTTAGGAAGAACAGGAAGACTTACTTCTTTGCTGGAGACAAATTCTGGAGGTAAGGAGAGTTAAAGTTTGTGCAAAGATTTGCATTTAATGTAATTAAAAGCCCTGTGTGACTTGACCTAGCTCTTGCAATTGAGGTCATAAACTGTTGCAGTTGTGTGCTATATCTGAACTGAGTTAGTGTTTGGTGTGACCTAAACGGTACAGTAACTCAACAGCTTGTAGTTTTTGCACATATGAAGCCGTAGTGTTTGTTTTATCTGGGAAAGTGCCATCATATGTGTTGCTGATGCACTTTATCAGATGCAAACCAACGAATGTCATTCAACAACAGAGGGTCTTTAAAAAAAAAAAGTGAAATCATGGCTATCTCACTTCTATTGTGCATATTGCACTGGTCTGCAGGCTCTTTGGCCTAAACAAACAGGTACAGCATGCTGGCCATGTCCACAGTCCCTGTCCAATTGTAAATCGACTTTTTAGTGCATTTACAGCCACAAACCTTGAGTAACTGAGAGTAAATCATAATAACAATGCAGCCAGAACAGTTTGCCCTAACTAACGTCCTATGTTATTAAATAGCAATGATATTAGTCATTATCTGGCTGATGTGCACACACCCAATTTTTAACAGGCTAAAACAGAGAGCAAAGCAAAGCAGCAACTGTACTTTGATAAAAGGACTGTGCATTATAAAAAAACATTTTTTTAATTCTTTGGGTATGGGAGCGACCTAGTTAACAGTCTGGATTGTTACTCTACTTCTTTTACTTTTATTCTCTTCTCTAAATGATGCAAGAAAGAAACAACAGTTTATGAAACTGATGGTCAGATTAGCTACTAAAGCTCTGAAGGCATCCTCTGACAAAAATGTCAATACACTACATATTTTTGGCACAGCATAGAGTTGTTCGGTGCTAAATTAATGCTATTAATGTAATACATGTCATATGTAAAACCTCAGATGTGATTTCATTGTTGTGTGCTTACAGATATGATGAGACCAGCAAGACAATGGACTCTGGCTTCCCAAAACTTATTGCGGATTCCTGGAATGGCATCCCAGATGGCATTGACTCTGCCTTCAGTCTTAATGGCATTGGTAAAATAATACTTTTAACAAGTAAAGTTGACCAAAATATGGCAGGAACAGTTATTAGTATGTGAATGAATTTGTTGCACGATTCATACCATTGTGCCATTGCTGTACTCTATTTTCCAAGAAAAAGTGATTTCAAGCTTTCAAGATATGGCAGTATTTAGGGAAAAGGATAAAAAGCTACACCTGCAACTTTGTTAGTTACAGAGCATTGTAGTTCTTTCCACTGAAAACAATATATGAGTATAAGGTTTCATAGGTATATCATTTTAGAACACTGTCATATTTTAATTAGTACTAAACAAAAAGAACAGCTCAAACTAAGCAGGAGAAGTTTGATTCCGCCACATTTCATGGCAGCCCATGCCAAAGGAATGTCAAGACATTTGACTGGAAAATATGAATCAACCTCACTATGGTAGGAAAAGTCACAGGTTCCCCAAAAGGTCTTATTTTCTGGGAATTGTGAATGTTTGTACCAGATAATATAGAAAGCCTTCAATAGCTGTTGAAATATTGGAGGCCTGAGCAAATGGGGAACTTCCTGACTCTACCGCTTCTAGAGCCATGGCTCCAATATGCCAAGAATATGCCACACAACTGTTGCTATGCTCTGATAACGACACTAGTGTTTTTATGTGTGTGTGATTACTGTCTGCACAGCAGCATTCCTTCTGGTAAAATTGCAGGAAAATCCAGTCAGCTCTATCAGTGAGTCTGGCACTCTGCCTTTGTCAGTAAAACTCCTCATATACCAGAATTGAGCAAACAGTGACGCCTTCTAGGCAAAAAAAAAAGTGTTTAGAGGAGTTGGCTACACAAAGAATGTCAGGAAGGCAAATAGACCATAAGGAGTATTTCTGAAGTCAGGGAGTGATCAGTGGTTTTATAATGACAGAATTGTTGCATTTTTTGTGAGTGAATATCACAGGTTAGTTGACACTTACTTTTACTGTTGGTGCAAAGTGCTGCTCACATTTACATTGTGAGAAGTAAATGGTGAATTTTTAATGTGAGACCACCAGTAAATATCTTTTGAGATTCTCACTGTCAGCCATGTATACTTGAGGTCAGAGGTGGTTAGCAAATTTTTGCCTATGGCAAGCAACCAGGGATTTTTTCATTGCTTCTCTCCTAACATACAGACAGTGCTGTAAGTGTCACATAGCCCCTTCCCCACACCGTAAACAAACATATTTATATAAAGAAGGTCTTTCACCCTCTACAGAGGCGCCTCTGTGTACCTCCTCCTTAGCATAATTCAGAGAACGCAAGGCTTGACTTTGGCTTCTGATTGGATATTTTAATTCTTGTACGCTTGTACAGAAGCTTGTTTATTTCACTGTTATTGCGTGGTAGTTTGTTTGACTCGAGCAAATTTAATAAAGAAAATTCTCAGCTTAGTAAATGTTTTAAACACAATGTGTATTCTGCTTGTCTTTCACAGACTACAGCTACTTCTTCAAAGGCAACCACTATTTCAAACTAGAAGACAGCAGCTTGAAGATCGTGAAGTTGGGTGAAATCACAAAGGACTGGCTCGGATGTTGAACATTTCCAAAATGTCTCACAACTAACTTGTGTAATGGTGACCTCTTGAGCCTCATGAGGACATTATTGTAGTATTGAACACAACTTAAGGTCGCTGCAGTGAAAACTGTTGTAATTTTTCTATCATGGCAACTCTGCACGCTTTCCTGCAGCCTGTATAACCGGTCTCCAGATTTGTAGAACGCCACCCCTGAACCTTCTTCGTAGGCTGAACATATGCAACTGGATATTTGCTACATTTCTGTGTGACTTTGACATTTTATTTGTTATGCTGTTATGCAGATTTATTACAATATGCACCCCATCTTTTATTATTTTATAGATTTTTTTTCCCAAGTCAGACATCAGGTATGTCCACACTGCTTTAAATGCAGTGCTATACTGTGCTGGTCAATATTGCCTTTTTATACAAATTTGATTTCTTTAACACCATATGAGGAAATCATGTTGGCTTAGAATTATTTCAGTGTAATAAGTGCAGTTTAATAATTGTATCTGTTTAATTACGTTTTTCATTGTTGTGCGCTACATTTGAAAGAATGAATTTGCACAATGTGACCGAAAATGGTGCTTTTAGAGATCGCTTTTTGCATATAGTCCTATATACATTATATTCTGTATAACTATGTCTGATTGGACTACTTAGTATCCTCTGGATGTATAAAAGTAGTATTCCCAGACACATTATCCTTCATTTGATTAGCACTTTGTTTAGGACTATACAAGGGAGTGGCACAATAGGAAGACCAAATTATTTCCGTGTCAACTCCATGTTACATTTCCCTACACTAATGGTACAGAAAGATTAATGGCACAGGTTGCCTCTAGAGGCTGTATAGGTTTCATGCATAATGGAACCATGACAAGAGTACCGCAGTAGTATTGCTTAATTATCTTTTTTTACATGTTTTTTCCTTGTGATGGTTTGTTTATGCTTTTTGCACTGTCATCAATAAAGATGGTCAATATAATAAATCTACAAAATTGTGAATGATTAGCCATGATATGTGATCCTTATCCGCTAGGTACCAAAAAAAAAGTGGGAGATCATATACCTTAGTGCACTGTATACATACTCTTGCAACACATTAGTGGTAAAGGTACATCTATAATGCTTGTGTTATGAACTTACACCAGTGTTGCTTTGTCATAGAGTTCATCTTTATGATATATAGTAATGCTGGCACTTCTTTAAATTTTAAGGTTCTATAAGTAACAAGCGGGCTAACTTTAAAATAATCAGATATAAAATTCATTGAATAGAGCAAACGGACTTTATCTAAACCCCTGCAAAGACTATAATTTGTTATGAAACTGTGCCATCTTGTGGACATTTATGATAAATGTGTAGCCTTTGCATAAAATCAGTTATTTGCTCGTGACACCGCGATCGTCCTAACTTTCTTTAGCATTTACTCCCCCGGGAGTCCTAACCAGTGTTATTTTATCAAAGCACACAACCTACGAGACAATTTTAATCTTTTCCTATCTGAACCAATTTTTTTCGAGGCATCTAAATGGGATACCACTATATTTGAGATACTGTCGAAAGGGTACTGTCTAAAGTCAGTACCTTGCAAAATTTAGTGACAGTGTACAAACATTCACTTAACAGTCTTAATTCCCCACTGCACAGCGGAGGTGGAGCTTGAAGCTACCGGTTTTGCTCTCGCGTGCTTGAGTTTTGTACTCGTCGTAACTCGCGCTTGATACCGTTTGGCTCAGCAACAAATGAGAACAGGTTCTCTGTTGAGGAAGTGAGATGGTAACATCACGGGGCTACAAATTAGAACTTCAGCCGTCATTTCGCTCACTGGACTACGATGCCACCGCAGCGAGTAGGTGCCTTGCCGAGGCAACAATCTCTGCTTTTGCCTGCGGTCATCAACCCGTTTGTCCAAGACACCAAACTAAGCAACGCTGCTATAATTAAAGTGAGTATTTCTTTTTCTTTTTCTTTTTCTTCTTCTTCTGCTTTTTTAAGAGATTGCACAAAGGCAGGATTTTGAAGAATGCTCGTTTGGTAACAGTGTTTCATAGTGTGACATAGTGCACTCAGGCTGCTGTATCCAGGGCCTGTAATCTTCTCCAACACGGCTTTGACAATCAGCTTGTAAAGCCTCCTATGCAGCACAACAGACTGAGCCATTGGGAGCTTTCTAGAAAGCTTTCCAGCAATGTGGATTTCTAGGCTCGTGCATATTTCTGCTAGGTGGGAGGTCAGTTTTCAGCCAGGCAGCAAGTGACTTGAACACCAGGGAGGTTTGGGCCTGTAATTAATATGCATAAATGTACTCCTCTACCTGCAGTGTGTCTTGTTGGGAATTTTCTTGGTCCCTCTTCGAGCTATCTTTATAACCCTGGTTCTGATGGTGTTATGGCCAGTGTCTGTCATTGTCACCTTCAAGCTGCCTCTGAAAGGAGCTGTGGAGCCAAGCACAGGATGGAGAAGGTAACTATGGATACCAGTAACATCCAGTCTTTCTCAGATTGGCCACGACTTTATCACACCTAAAGCAAAACAATAATAATATATTTAGCTTATTCTTGACATCAGTTTTGTTTACTTGCAAATGATCTTTTGCTTATTTATTTTTGCAAAACTTGGTTGCCCAGAAAAACTGTTTGGCTAATCTGGGACATCAATAACCCATTTGCCTTTTTTACTGCAGACATTTTGTTTGCTAAGCAACTGCATTCACCTTGCACGCCATCTTATCACCATCTGTCAAAGTGAATTGAACTACTACTACTAAACGCTTTGAACATATCTATCAAACAATAAACATATTGAACTTTAAGTTTTGCAAAAGTAATGAATTGTACTGAGGTGAGAAGAAGGATAAAAAGTCAGTTTTCGCTCATATGCTTTACAGAAGCAAAACATGCCAAAAAAATAATAGTTCCTGTAATAATGAATTAGCAGCTACTTGTGTTCATGTCGACTCATGCTTTTCTAGATCATATCCTCTTCACAAGCAATACCTCACCTCAGTTTCCTTCAGAAAGGAACTAGTCGGTGGGGGGTTAAGGGGAACTGGAAATGATGTTTTAGCCACTTTGATCACCTCTGATGTCCAAAAGTAATAACAGACATGATAATTATAATAATTTTCTATATCTGTTTATATCTTGTATGAAAAGGACTCATTCCACTGGACTTATTAAACAGTATGTCTGTACATATAGTCTGAAAATGACAATTAGTTTTGTAGTCTATATTTTACTTGGGTGTGTGTTGGCTTCTTCACACTTGTTCACAGTATAAACCGTTCTTGCGATCTTAGACTACAACATTTTTCATACATTTTGCAGATGACTGACAGAAAAAAAAAAAAGTTTAAACTATTGAAATCTTGTAATCTTGTATCTTGTCTTTTTTTGACAGACAGGTTAGGCTGTTACTACAAAGCTTTATATCAATGAATTTGTGTTGTATTGCAGATACCAGTGAAAATCGCCACCCTGCTTTGTCGAACCACAGGTTTTTTTAACCTTGATAGTTTATTTGCATTAGTAAAATGATGAACCATCCTTCAGCTTAAAGGCTGTATACTATTTTCGGAGCCTGTGACAAATTGCTCAGAAGCACAGAAAGTGTGACATGATAGTTTAAAGCAGGGCATAAGCCCACACTGCACAATGAAGGAAGTGAAACTTAACCATAATAACTTGACTGATAGCATACGTTAAAACGTTTTACTGTAAGAGCCGATTGATTAATGTATCTTTAAATATTCACGTTTGTATTCTCTTTAATTTGTTTCATATTAAGTATGTGAAACTAAGTTCATAATGTCATTCATCATTTTGTATCTCTGACTCCATAGCAACACCCCTTCCTTCCTTTCTACAGTTTTTGAGGAAGCAATTGGCAACAGTAACATACTTTGCGCTTTAAGGTTAAAGAAAAGCACGAAATTGTGAAACGCATCCTGTTACCACAACACATCAGTCAATATACTGAACCGATAAACAAAGAAGGTCTAAATAGACCCATTAAAAATATTATACCAGCCCTTTTAATGTAAAGAATTTAGGATTTTCTCATGCAAAGCTTCTTGCACTGTTGTGTAGAATAGACAGTCACTTCCCATTCACATTTTTTTTCATTCACAAAAATTCAGCAATTAAAAAAAAACAATTTTTATCTCCAGATTTTTGTGTCAAAGAGTGATGGCTGCCTTGGGGAGGGCTTACTTCTTCAGCATGGGTTTTCGAGTGGTGGTCAAGGGTAAGCAGGCCAGCAGCCATGACGCACCCATCCTGGCTGTGGCCCCCCACTCCACCTTTTTTGATGGGATTGTCTGCGTTGTAGCTGGCCTGCCCTCCACTGTCTCCCGTGTCGAGAACCTCGCCACACCCATCTTTGGCAGTAAGATACTTTTTGCATGATTGTTTCGAACAGGAAAGTAGGGACAAACTGTGTTTGTTATAGTCCATTTCCATCTGCCTTCACCTGAATGCACAGTTTCCCACTCTCTATGAAACGTGGGAGAGCTTGTAATATATATACAATGGAATGTCATTACCTTACTTGCTGCCTGTACTGGGTATAAATTAGTCCAGTACTTTGGAGTTGTCATTGACATAAATCCTTGTTATAGTAAGTAAAATTTACAAATGCACTCTATGAAGTAAACACGAGCTAAGACATTGATTAATATAAGCCTTTTCATCCATCTTTTTAAAAGTAATAACAACACATAACTCATTTCATATCTGTCACATGTGATTTGTTAAACAGTGATATCACTTTGTCTTATTTAACACTTACAAACGAATGCAAATAACTAAAGCCTGTGCACCAGATTAGTGGAAAATATGATCAAGATTACTATATTCTTTTGTATGTTCATTACCATTAATCTTTTGTTCTCTCTTTAGGGTTCCTTCGGAGTCTCCAGCCAGTGCTGGTATCTAGAACAGACCCAGACTCCCGGAAGAACACAATCAACGAGATTAACAAGAGAGCCAAGTCAGGAGGCCAGTGGCCACAGGTCTGGCACTGCAGTCATTCTCAATAAAAATGACTTTTATATGAATTTATTCGTTGTTTCCAAAGGAGCAAAATTGTATTCAGTGTTGACTCAGATTATTTTAAAAGCAATCTTTGCAATTTTGAGGGGTATTATTTTACCATTCAGCAAGGATGCTTTTTTTTTCAGGTTCTTATATTTCCAGAAGGAACATGTACAAATCGCTCATGTCTTATCACGTTCAAACAAGGTAAGATATAAAATGTACATTTTGTGTAGTGTAATCATTAGTTTAATTTCTATCAGCATGTCAAATGCAAAAAAAAAAGATAACAACATTTTACTATACAAAACTTAGATCTACTACTGTATTATAGAACATTTAGTATTTTCTCTTAACATAAATCAAATCCATTTAATACATCGATTTCATAACAGAGAGTGCTTCTTCGTACGTTATTCCATTTAATCAATATTTGATGTGGTTTGTGTTTTAACTTTTGGTTAACTGATGCCTATAAGAGTGGTTCTGTATGTGGTGAGAGAATGGAGAAGTCAGAGTAAAATCATATAGTTTTACAGCTATGCACTTCATGTTTAACTACACGCTGTGTGTTTTTTTATTTATTTTAATACCTATTGTTCCCCACGCCACTTTTAGGTGCCTTCATTCCTGGTGTTCCTGTGCAGCCTGTGCTTCTGAGGTATCCTAACAAACTGGTAAGTAGGGTTGTGACAGTAATAGATTTTCATTTTTCGTACATATACATACACGGCCAGTAATATCTGTTCAGTGATGTAGTGCAAAACTATAGGAATAGTGTATATATTGGATTCCCTGTTGGATTTGTAGATTTGCTCACAAACAAATGAACAGTCGTATTTTTTATGATAGTTTCATTTTATTGGAGAACGACTTACTTTCTAAATCTTTTACCTTTTTTTGGTTGTGGCTCGGCAGTTCAAAGCTTCAATTCCCTCCAGATTTTCGCGAGGATTG